GATGAGGCTGTTTATCACGGGGCCGGCTCAGCGCTCACCGGGGACAGCTCAACCACAGTGGGTACTTCTTTAAAAACAAACAAAAAAAAGCCTCCTTCCTTCCTCTTTTTCTGTTCTTCCCTCTCTTCTTCCTCCTTCCTTCCTTCCAACAACTGCTGAGGCCCACTGACAGCCTGGCATGATGTCATATATGTGCCATCTTGTTGAATCCACAGACACACCCTTCATGGGACCCATTGCCCCCAGCACTTTACAAATGAGAGAACTGTGATTCTAAACGACAAGATGCCCCCAACATTTCACAGGTAGTGAGCAGAAGGTCCTCAAACAACAAGCTATTTTATTTTCCCTGAAGATGGGAAACTGAACTTGGAGTCAGAGGACCTAAGACCTCAATGTACCCATCATGTCCCCTCCTCTGGAACACAGCACCTGTTGAAACCCTGCACAGTGGTTACTATGCAGATAAAAGAGAGGCAATATGCTCACCAAAGATCTGGGACATGGGAATGCCCGAGAAATATCATTTGTCTCCCTCTTCCCCATCAAAGAGTACGGCCAATAGCAGGACTGTCTCTCTCTTGGGTCACTTTTCCTGCTCATTATACATGTATCTATGGTCCCATCCTGTTCCCATTTGCATCAGGCCTTAGGGAGGGGGTTTCTAATTGGAATCCAAGGGCCTTCCTGGAGATATCCATGGTTACAGAGACACTTGGCATATATATACACAGGGGGACAGTCTTGGCACTGAGCCATCTGGGTTCCGGCCCCAGCTTGGCCAGTGACTTGCTGTGTGCTCTTACTTCACTGTCCATCGCTGGACCTCAGCTTGATCACCTACATCAGAGTTCAGCAAACGATGGCCTGGAGGTCAAATCTGGCCCACCACTTGCTTTGTCCGTAAAGTTTTACTGAAACACAGCTACATGCATTCATTTACATATGGTCTGTGGCTGCTTTCATGATGCATCTGACAGGACGATATATACCATGGACGTTGAACTGAAGGGTGTCTAAGGAACTCCCAGCCACCAACCTTGCCACCCTCAGGTCCATCTTCTGCCCCAGACTCCAGAGAAATTTCTCCAAAGTGCAGATCTGACTATGGCACCTTCTTACTTAATGCTTTTCAACAGCGGGCATGGGGATTAACTGCAAAGGGTGATGAAAATGTTCTAGTGCTGGTTTATGGTGATGGTTGCACAAATCAATAGCTTTATTAAAAATCACTAGATTACACACTTAAAATAAGTGGATTCTATGATCTGTAGATTGTACCTTAATAATGCTGTTTAAAAAAAAATTTTTTTTCAACAGCCCCAGGCCAAAAACAGAGCTGTGTCTTCCAAGCACTCAGTGGGCTGGTGCCAGCCTGTGCCTGTAGGGCCTCAGTCCACACTGAGATAAGTAGGGAAAGCGAGAGAGGTGTTTAGGAACTGTTACAGCAATTTGGCATTGCTGTGACACTTTTATTGCCATTTATAAAGGTATCGGTCCACAGTGAGTTGAGGGGGGAGCTGGTCTGTCCCCACATTTTGAGTAGCGCTGCTCTAGACTAGAGACTAAATTGAATCCCTCTAGCCTGGCATTCAAAGCCCCCATCACCCACTTGCCCCTGTAGGCTGAGCTCCTTTTGCAACCTATCTTTAATCAACTTGGAGATTCCAAACTTTGCCAAAATCTCTCCCTCACTCCTCCAGCCTGGCGCGCCACATCCCTGACCACTCAAAAGCTTTTCTCTTCCTTTTCGAATAATTATGTATTCCCCTTTCAAGACTCAGGCTATCTGTCATCTCCTCTGAGAAGCCATCCTGGTTGCCTTCACCCCCAAATTCCCTCTTCAAAGGGGTGATCTTTGACTAGTTATCTCCTCTCTCTGAACCTCAATTTTTTCATCTGTGAAACAGGGAGACTCATAGCATCTTCCTCTTCAGATGACAGTATCTCCCTCATGAATTATTTTATAAAAGGCTTCAATGCCTATGTTCCTCCAGCATCCTGGGGAGCCCACCTGCATCCCGCTATACTGTAATTGTTTATTTCTATATCCATCTCCTCCTCCTGACCATGAGTTACAGGGATGCATGGGCTGTGCTGCATGGCCTCTCACCCACAGGGCCTGGCTAGGAGGCGAAGCTCAGTAAACACGAGCTGAACGAGTGAGTAAATGAAGTCCTTTCTAAACAGCCCTAGGCAGGCAAGAGGTATATAGATCTATTTAAAAAAATAAAATCAAACCATGGTAAAACATCATACCTGGTAGAAATGTGGCCAGAAGGTGCTGATGGCAAGCTCTGCCTTCACCCAGCCCTCGGTGACGACTCCAGACACATTCCAGACGGGGTTCCCTTGGGGCCCACCATTGACCTTCACATAGACATTCAAGGCCCCTGGACTGGACCTGTCACGACTGGAGAAGTAGTAATGGAAATCGATGCAGTGGGTGTCATTCTCCTTCAGGGTGGGCAGGAGAAGGTGGGCCTTCTGGCCAGAGGCCCTCCCGGAGCTGTTCACCATCATGAAAGATCCTGGAGAGCCACAAAGGGGGCGGGAAGTGGACAAGGAGAGAGAAAGAAAAATCCTGTTGAGAATCAGTCACACCCATAAACACGGTGGCAAGAAATCAAGTCACACTGGGGGGGTCTGGGTGATCCCGTAGAAACCACACCTCCTCTCTCCACCTGAGTACCCTCTTCTGCAAGTACGTGGAGAACAGTAGGGGATTAAAAAAACAACAACCCTATTCAACAAGGCGGTTTTACGAAAGAAGAGATGGGAATGTGTACGATGTATTTCTACAAAGTAGACAGTCTATAAACATTTACAGAAGGAACAGTACGTCCAATAGCTCCTAAAAGAAGCATTGGATAAAACCCCAGGAATTTAATTAATGGCAACCTCCATGAGTAAATGAAATGAGAGGTGAACTATAACCTCATGCAAGCTTGGGCTGTCTCAGGGGAAAGAGAACTTCAATAATACAGGAGGTGTCATCATTCCCATATACTCCATCTGGAGCCTTGCATTTGGTACAGGGTATGTAGCAGAGGAGGGCATAGAAAAAGCAGAATAGATTCAAGGGAGCAAGGAAGACCCTGAAAAAATGTGAGAACCAACTGGAAGATATTCAGCCTGGAATGGAGGGAGAGTAATAATACTAAGCACTTAAGGAGTATCAGTGTGAGGCTGGTGTCTTATTTATACATTATTCAATTTGATCTTCAGAATGACCCTGGGAGACAGAGAATTTTCATTTTATTTAAAGATTGAGTGACTCGCCCTGGGCCACTCAGACAGGGAGGGATGATACCCAGGTTCTCTCCAACCTCAAAGTCGATGCTGTTATTGCTCTTTGCAGAAAACGCGACTGCTCTTCTCAAGCCTTGGCACGGCTGTCTCCTAGGAAGGAAGTGAGCCTCCCTGGAGTTGCTTTGACAGGTTAAACGGTTGCTGCTAGTTCTTCACGCCTCCCTGGATCCATGCCATTGGCCTCTGGCTTTGCGGTTCCTCCCACAAGAGGTGGAGGGTATGTCCCCATCCTGTGACTGTGGACTGCAGTTGCTTTGGTCAACAGGATGCTCACAGAATGGTTCAAGCAGTAGCCTGAAGCCTGCGAGCCTCTCTGGGCTTGCCCTCTTGCACTTACTGCTATCTTGCATGAGAAGGACACACTCCAGGTAGCTGCTGCCCCTTTCTATGTGGGGTCCAGGACAGACTCATGTGGAAGAAAGCTGAGCATACCTGATAGTGAAGAGCCAAGCCATGTCACCCACGCAGCTAGATGCACAGCCAGGTGGCCCACAAGCCCAACCTAGATCAGCAGAACCACACTCGATGCTCAGACCATGAACGTGCAAAAAGCGCTTACCGTTATTCGCCACTGAGTTTCCTCCTGGTTTGTTAGGCAGCATTATTGTGGCAATAGCTAATTGACAAAGGTGCCTGACAGGGCAGACTTGTGACAGAAACCACCAGAAGGCACATTTCAGCTCTAAGGACCTTTGACAAGGAGAGCTGAGGCAAAATGGGATTGACTGCTGGAGACAAAGTGAGTCCCCCATCACGGCAGGTGGCTAAACGGAGCCTGGACAAATTGAGACGTCTCGGGCAGCTTCACGATCGGCTGTGAGGGCTGTACTCTGTGACTGAAAGTCCTATGGTTCTATGAAATAAATTGCATTGTAAAACATAGTAGATAAACTCAGATGACTCTGGGAGGAATAGTCCCACCTACAAAACCACTGTTGCTTTGAAATCTAATTTTACCCACTAAAATCGTCAATGCAGAATGAAACCTTAAGACGATTTCCCCTCCACCAAGATGAGCCACGATAGCTGTAAGTAGCCTCATTCTTTCACTCTTGGTACCAAAAAGACTAGCAGCTGCCAGCTAACCCGTGCTGGGAAGTCTGTATCTCACCGGGCTTCGAGAAGGTACCAGGCATTCACAGCCCATCTCCTCTGGGATCTGAATGAATTTAAAAATAGACACAGGAGAGAGGTAGAGTTCAAAAGCTCCGCTCTACTATTCCCAAAGCTGGATTTGAGAAAGTAACTTGGACATGAGGCCAACTTAGGCTTCGTGCATTTTCTTCTCTGAACCAGCACGCAGAGCAGCTGGAAGATCACGAACTCCCTCCTTCTGTCTCTACCCAGACCCCTAGGGCCAGAGCCGTCCTTAAGGGATGACCACTTTGGGTGGGCTCATCCCCAAAATATGCCAATGAGAAGCAAGGTAATAAAGACGACAATCTGAACCCATGGCTATCAGACTTCTGCCAACCCACCAATCAGAGAGGTCACCCACCTCCTAGGAACACTCATATCAGACCTTTAGCAAACAAGGAATAAACTATTATTGGGTTATTAAGCCATTCAAATTCAGAGGTTTTATTTCTGCAGCTGGCGTTGTCATAATTGCTTTGGCACCCCCATAGAGCCCCAACTTCCTACAAGCGCCTTTATTTAGGGGGATGAGTAATGGTAGCGACCAAGCAAAGCTGTAGGATGCTCCAAATAGGATCATCATTAAGAGCAGCGACCCTGGGTAAAAAAAATGCAGAAAAGACAGAAGAGAATGAAAAGAATGGACTCTAAGAATGAATCCTGGAGCAGGAAAGGAACACCTTGGATCTTCCTGAAGACTATCTGTGTCTTAAGAGGGCCAGAGTTGGGATGTGTCAGGGTCATAGACCATGTTCCCCACCACCCCCACCCTGGCCCCTGATGTCAATTTATGTAACTTAATATGCACGCTCTGGCCCCAACTTGCTTTCTGGACTAGACAGAAAGGTATGTGTTTTGGTGCAAGGTTCAGAGAGGTAGACCAGATAACCGAAAAAAAAATTTTTTTTTTTTAATGGATGGCTGCCCACCCAGCCTACCCCCAAAGGAGGGAAGGGTATGGCAGGATGGAGGCCTGCTCATAAATGTCTGGGTGAGGCTGCACAGCAGTGATGCTCTGGGGTCCACATGACAGAGCATAAAAGCATCAGCACGTGGCAAGCCCAGAAAGAGCAGAGGCGTGCTGTGACCCTGGGAAGGGAGCCCACAGCAGCAGCGGTGGTGAGGGACCCTTCTATGGCTTGCAGGCAGCTGGCTTCCACGAGGATTCCAGAAAGGGGCAACGCAAGCAACTGACCTTGTACTCATGCACTCATCAGACACCACCCCACCCTCGTCTGCAGTTCATACCTGACTATTCTTGTATCCCGACAGCATGGGGCTCCATTTTTTTTTCTCTCCCAACACCCCGTTCCCCAGGAATATCTTCAGCCGCCTCAGGTTGGTATACACCAGCAGATATAAATAGATTCTAGGGGGTCCATAGCAGAACCCCACACATCAGAGTGGGTGGGCCTCTCCGCTCTCCCAGTCAGGATCCCCCCCTCCCCTCCATGGAAGTGTGCCTGGTGGTCATTTGGGAGAGCATTTCAAATAGAAGAACAGCATGTATAAAGGCACAGAGGCAGGAAGCCGTAGCATCCAGCAAGTGTAGCATCTTATGGGGGGAGTGGGGTCCAGCCACCTCTAGCCCCCTCCACGTCTAGCCCAGCCCCCAGGGGTCTAGCCCCATCCTCCAGACAGGAAGAAGCCATATCTCTGGGTTGAGCACAGGCCTGCCGTTTCAGAGATTGTTCAGGAGTGAAGCCCTCATGTATTGGCAACTCCGTGGGGCCCTCTTTGATCAACAGGTTGGCTTAATTAATATCATCCTGGGGCTGTCAGCTTCCTGGAGATCAAAAATGAGCCGGTCATTATGCCGAGATCAGTCAGAAACAAGAAAGGGAAAGACTGTAAATATATTTCCCCCCCAACACCCACTGATGTGATAAGGATGATAAAACAGCATTAGTTTCTCATAGTTATTATACATAGCACTGAAAACTGTTGAATTAAACCAGGAAGTACTCTCTGGCTGGCCATAAATTTTGCATTTTTTCCCCCTTCGTGTGTAATAATGCCTTGATAAGCGCCCCGTTATTGATGTGTCTGCAACATAGATCCCCTTTTTGGAGGCAAAACACTTCTCCGTAGCAGATGGCGGCTATTGTGTTTACACATGAGCACCTCACGATCGCACTTCCTCACGTTGGCAGTAAAAAGAAAGCCCAAATTGAGTTTTTAATGGCTTTGCGCATTGTTCATTAAGATTACATGAGTGTGCTCAGGCGCCTGGCAGCTGAGCGCCTGGAGCTCCGAGAGCCCAGAGCCGTCCCTGCAGACAGGTGGCCTCGCCAGCTTCCAGTGCCAGGACCTATGTGAAGGGAGTGGATGGCAGGAGGGACCCAAATGCTGCCTGAAGCCAAGGCAGCTGTGGTGACATGGAATAAGCCTCGGTTTCCAATCAAGAAAACTGGGTTTCAGTCCCACTTCTGTCATTTCTTAGTGGGGTGACTTTGAGCAAGTCAGTAAAACTCCCTGGGCCCTTGATGTCCCCATCTATAAAATGGGCTAATGAAAGCTACATGTCAAAGTTTTTTTGTTGTTTGTCTGTTTTTAGTGAATATTAAATGAAACACCGGACTCGACTCAATAAATGTGAATTTCATAATAAAGAGCCAGCTGCAGATGACAGTGGGCCTGATGCAATGTACAACACGTTTAATGTTAGTAATGTTTATTGAAAGCTTAGTACCATCTTTTAGCGTCCCAGTGAGGTGGTACCACGCTATTCCTGTTTTAAAGCAAGGAGCTCTGAAAAAGAGAGAGGTAACGTCTTTTGCTTACACAGCCCTCATCCACTCCATGGTAAGCAGAATAACGGCTTGAAGATGTCCCCATCCTAATCTGTGGAACCTGTGACTATGTCACCTACATGGCAAAGAGGGATTAAGGTTGCAGATGGAATTGTGGTTGATAATCAGATGACTCAAGATGGGGAGATTGTTCTGGACAAAAGAGGCAGAAGAGGCAGAATCAGAGAGGAATTTGAAGATACTATGCTAGCTTTGGAGATAGACAGGAGACATGAACCAAGAAATTCAGGAGGCCTCTAAAAGCTAGAAAAGGCAAGAATGCAGATTCT